AGACCAGAAGAGCAGAATGGTAATATTCTTAATTTTTTTTAAAAAAATTGCCTGTGATTATTAGATTTATGAAGATTTACATCTATAATGTAAATCAGATGATGAGCATATATATGAGTAGTGTGACTCTGCTCCCCCAAAACAATTGGAAAATAAATAAATAAAATAAATCAGGAGTGACACTCTTTCTAATTCAGGATGTGCTGTGTATAAACAAGATATGTCTTCAATATATTTTTAGACATTTAAACATTTAGACATGTAAGACTAGAATCCTGCTTGTTTCAGGAGAACCAAAATGGCGCAGAACACTGTAGACATGCCAGCAGTGCAAGAGTACAAAAGCTCTACTGACCTGGCCCTTGCTATCTTAGCTTGCAGTGAAATTGAAATAGTATTGGCACTTGAAATTTATGTTTTTGAGTCCTTGCTCAACAATGTTTACCCATTGTTGACAGGAATAGAAAGAAATGTTAATAGAGGCCACAATTAGCTTCACATGATTCTGTGATCTGAAAAAGAAAAGATTCTCACTAATCTCAATGTATAGTGGGTGTGCAGAAGAGGGAGAGACAGAAAGAAAGAGAGATAAATTGAGAGACAGGAGTTAGAATCCAGATAAGAAAGCATGTCCAGACTCAGGACAAAGTACTCCATATGTCAATCCTGTTCACAGAGGATACTGTTAGTTCTGAAAATGCATGGACTGTGGTGTTGGGCATAAAGTGTATTTTAAAAAAATGATTTGTTTGGGTTAGTGATTTTTTAAAATTAGGGCAATGGTGTTTATTGCTGTGGAGACATGCAGGAATATACCAGGTGTGAGCATGCATTCGGCACCTAATTTAATTAATTCTTAAGTGTCAAAGGTGGCTGAATAAATCCAAACTCTGATCAACTGAAGGGCCTCATAGGTCTGAAAGTTCCACTGTACTAAGATTCTTCCCAGAGCAAATACTAATATGTTGGGAAAAGGCTAGGATAAACTTCTCTGATAGTGCAGAGTGTTCAGTAATATGAGTGTCAACTTGCAGATTGACATGTCTTTGCTATTTGCTAACCTGAGCTCTCACAAACTGCAGGTTGCCACACTGTCCAATATTTCTGAGAACTGTATATTAGATACATGTCAGAGACTACAGCTTCAACACAATATATAGTTACTTGTCATTTCTACTAGAGGACATGGATCAATTATACAAAAGGGTAAACACTTCATAGTTGCTTACTAGGGCTGGGCAACCACGGAAAAATTTGTTTCTAAACTCGATTCGTTTTTTGGGGTTTTTTTGCGTTTCGATATTTAAAAGAATTCCGAATTTTTTCTTTAAAAAAGTTCGATATTTACGAAATTTCGTAAAATTACGAAACAATACGAAACGAATACGAAATGAATACAAATCGATTCGTTAATGGCGGACGCGACCGCGCAATACGCTAAAAAACCTCCATATGGGACAGGGGGAACTTTTGAAGCTTCCCTCTCCCTCTGTTGTTGACTGTTGGTGTGATATTTATAATTTTTTTTCACTGATTAAACAAACAACAGCTATAAAACTTGCCCCAGACATGCGGAAATAATAACGAAACGATTTCGAAACGATTTCGAAACGAATACAAAACGAATACGAAGCAATTACGAAACGAATTGAAAAATTCGTTTTGTTTTTAAGATGCTCCTGAATGGTTCAATATCGCTTCGTTATAAAAAATAACGAATTTTTAACGCATTACGAAATTACGAAACAACACCGCCCAGCCCTATTGCTTACATACAATCATAACTTGTGATGCAAAAGGTGTTTCAAAATACATTTCATTAACATGATATTTGAAAGAACACCAAGGATGTAGGCTAATAAGAGGTAGTATTCCCCCAAAAGTGTCAGGAATATGGGTTATCCTTTTATTTTCAGGATTCTCCCTGCTACTGGGTGCCAGAAAAGGTTTGCGAAATAATCATACATATCAGATGCTTCTAGATGAGGCTTTTGTTGGACTATAACTCGGCTTTATTGCCAGAAGTTTACCCGAGATCCAAAAGATGTCACCTTTCATTAATAATGCTTCTGTATTTTCCAATTCCTCTGTTTTTTGTCTTACTTACAATAAAAAAGAAAAAATAGATTTGGTATACATTGCTCTAGGAATCCTCTGTTGATTTCACTAAACCAAGCATTGCTGGCCGAGGAATTTTCAGAACTCATTGGAGGAAAGAATGAGACTTCTTAACACCAGCAGTATTATAATCATAATATAAAATCTGGCATTCACAGCTGTGACATTATTTGTGTGATTCCTTGGCTCCCTGCCATTCTGCTCTTGACTTCAACTCTGCTTAGGCACCTAAGGCATGTGTACACAAGATTTTTCTACTGCATAAAATCAGACATTCCAGAAATTGGACTTCGTGAGTTTGCTGTGAAGGATTTGGCTTGAGACAATACTACTTCTTAAAATATGAAGCACATCATTTTAATTTCAACAGTAATAAAGCAAAATGTTTTCAGAAGCAATCTAACAATTGGGATTTTAATGTTATTATACCAGTTTGCATTCTGGCATTTTGCAAAGCATAAGAACCTGCTTCCAGTCCCCTTGATGTAGATCATATGTGTTAAGTGGTCAGATGCCTATTTGGATCCAATAAGGTACACACAAAAAGACAGATCCAAGAAAGTTTAGAACCTGGGGAGTCATTGGAAACCACACTGGTGGAGGTAAAGTCTGACAGATTCCAAGAAATGAAACAATAAATTGAAGGGGCCAAAAACATTAAAACGATTCATTACAGAAAGGTGAATGTCTCAAAAATGAACTTGAAAAATTCTAGAAAACTTCAAACTATTATAGGACAGAGTTGGAGAAGCTTATTTTCCCAAAATGGACCTAAATATGACCGTTGCTGTCCCACTCGCATATTTCCAAGCACAACCCTCCCTCCAAACATGCAGTTCTGTTTAAGGCTGTGGGGGCAGTTCACCAAATCTGCCTTCATAAATGGGAATTGTATATTAATTAGCAATAATCTACTGTAGTAACATGCTAGTACAAGGCATTTCATTGCTACCATGTAAATAACTGGCTCTTTAGATTGATAGAACACCAAATGTATTTACAGGATGAGCCACTTATACACAGATTCTCCAGCTAGTTTCATTTACCCACACTCCAAAAATATTCCTCCTTAGAAGTGTATTAGGACCTCTCTAGGTCCCTCCGAGCAATCCCATAACATTCTTCCATCCGAAGCATATCACCGAATAGCACTGGAGAATCTAGAGAGGCCCACCAATGAAAGCATGGGGACTGCATAGACTTTGAAAGTTGGGGGGAAACAGGAACATGGCTGAAAATTAAGTTCTGACATTGTGGGGGTGAGCGATGATATTAAACAGTATAGGGGGTTGCAATCCGGTTAAAGTTAACTCATTGCTCTTGAGAGGTTCCATGAGTGACAATTCATCTTTTAATTTCCAGAAGGGAAAAAGACTCTAAGGGAGACCTTAGGGAATTACGGTCTGCAAAAACCACTCATTTCAATCTAACATCTACACTGAAATGTTGAGTTGATAGCATTGAATGTCTGCCAATTTTATGTTTTATGTTTGGAAGCTGCCCTGAGTCCCATGGGGGGGGGGGGGTGTTAAAATAAACATTATTATTATTATTATTATTATTATTATTATTATTATTATTTCAAAATGAAAACAAACTTAGCCAGGTTCCTCCATGTAGAAAAACTAAAATGGGACAACAATTTATTTATTTATTTATTTACATCACTTATATCCCGCCCATATCAGCCCGCAGGTGACTCAGGCCAATCTTTTAAAGGTAGGATGCCAATTCCTGTCTTTTCAACAGTAAAGTCTAGAAAGACTTGCAGGATAGTATTCATAGTTGATACCTTGTTTTTTCGGCTAACTGAAATGTAAATCAGTTCTTCCCACCACAGTCCCCTAGACTTGTGCCCTAAATGCTCCTATCCCTCCATCAATCTACCTCCCTCTTCATCCCCTTTTCGTCCCTTCCCTTCTCTAAATAGTTTTTGTGCTTTGGCCTTCAACATACCTCTGTTTTCTAGCCTTTTAGGTTTTTAAAGTACAATGATTTGATGAGACTGTACCTCATTCTGTTTATGCTGGTCTATGACCATAATAAAGATTTTTGATTTTGATTACCTTGTTATTTTGTTTATTACGGGTCTTCAAATATCAGTTGCATTTTTCAATGTGCAGGCCTACAAACCATGTACAAAAATGTTAGCTCAATATAAGCTCTTGCTCAGCATCCTTTCCTACAGATGGATAACAAAATGAAAAGTGACTCATTTATTTAGTTACCGGAAGCACTGGGTTGTTGTAGGTTTTCGGGTTATATGACCATGTTCTAGAAGCATTCTCTCCTGACGTTTCACCTGCATCTATGGCAAGCATCCTCAGGGGTTGTGAGGTCTGTGAAACGTGGTAAAAGCCTTCCCTGCCCATTGACCTTCCAGAGTGTGGTACATTATGTATTTCCCAACTGCTCTTGCTACAGGCAAAGCAAGGGTTGAGTAGTATGGTGGCTAATGAACCAAACAAAGAACAAAAGGATGCCTCCCATTACTATTTCAAGGAAAAGCTTCATCCCCTGATCAATGCATGGTCCCTCATTGACCCTACAGTTTACTTCCATTTATCCACCGTTTAACATCTTCAGTCTAGAAAAAGTACTGTCATTTTGATTCTGCTGATGATATTATGTGTCCTGTAGGGATGGGTAGATTTCCTTCTTGTCTTCCTCCTTGATAGACTTTTGCTTCTCCTTTTGGAAAGGGTGGTGGGAGAGGAATTTCTGCCCAAGTAATGTTTACATGTATCACAAAGTGCTTTTAAATAGTATGGTCTGCAATCACTGGCAAATTTTAGAAAACAAAAACTCATGGGGGATCACATGTACAGCCATCTTCCTCATGAGTCAACCTTTTGGAATCAATGTGTGCTTTCTTCATGCAGGGATTTGAGGCGCCTTGGAGTCACACTTGTTGGGCACCAGAAGAAGATAATGAACAGCCTTCAAGAAATGAAGGTCCAGCTGGTAAACAGGATGGTGCCATTATAATTTTTAAATATTTTTTATTTTTTAAAATGTCACTTCAAGTGATCAGCCTTGCACTTTGTACACATAACTCTGACCTTCATTTTAACAACTGAAAAAAGATACTCAGTTTTTCCTATACTACAACAGAAGAACACTGGCCTCATTGACATAATTTGTAATCAGTATTAGAAGCTACCTTCTTGTGACTGCATCATGAAGTAAAAGCAATGTGAATAAAAAGTAAAAATGGGGCTGTACCACATTTGAGGTTAACCATTTTCTTCTGCTTCGATAACAACAAAAATAGTCCCATTGCACCTTGTCTGTACTTGGAGTATATTGATATCTAAATACATACATATATATATGGCACCTTTCAAAAACTGAAAATGGCAGCCCATGTTAATACTTCCAAGAATTTGCTTGAAATTTTTGTCAGCACACTGAAAGGTACTGTTTACTGACTTTTCATTCAGGTCTTAAGCATCAAATGGAAGGATTTTGAAGAGCAATACTAGACTATTTCTTGACAGCGCTTTCTTATTTTATACATTTTAAAGAATAATGATCTTACACAACAGTGGCGTCCCTAGTGGTCACTGTTTTTCAATGCAATACAGGATGCGCTTTTCTTCTTCCTTTTCTCAATGACATTCCTTTTATAGTGACTAATAGTACAATATATGTAGATAATGTTATCCAGATTACTGCAAACCCAAGTGTGGAACATAATCTTTTTCATGCTACCTGACTTTGTGTTTTTACTGCTGCTTGGTTGTAACAGGCATATTTTGTAGTAGCACAAACATTGGAACTGAGTCCAGAATTTGCTTCCTGAAGAATCTTTATTTCATGGATCAACAAAAGAAGGGGAAGAGAATATATTGCCTTTGATCATTTCTTGAAAGCATCTAAAAGCGTACCTTGTGAAATCTCAGAAGTTGGAAGGAAGAACTATATAAGATTGCCTTGACTTGGAAGGACAGCTTCAGTGCCTGGAATAACTTCCCGCCCCATGGCCAAAGCAGAATCTACTGTAGAAAGTTATGCAAATATGCATCAGATGTAAAGGCTGCTGAATTATCCATTTATTGGCACATGTTTTAAAACATAAAATCATATGCAACCTCAGTAATACCAGTACCAGGGAGGGAAGATTTGTGACTTGCACATTTTTACTGATTTTAAGGGAATAGTGGTCCAGCTTGTCTTAATACTCTCCCCCAGATGTATCATCTGGTAGAAATGTTCTCACCTAAAATTGGAAGTTCATCCCATACTGAATGACTCTGAAAATGGCAGCAAATTTGCAATAGCCATGATGATTTTCAAAGAATTGGTTGCTTCTCTTCTGGATTTAATTTTGCTTCTTGCAATCTATTCACTTTGATCACTTGAGATGAATTGGGCTATAGACTACACAAATAAAATGAGCAAGAATATATGCAGGGTCTATAGTAGAGATCTTCCACTTCACATGTTCTTGATCCATTCTGATACAGCTTTTTCTGAAAGTTGGTATGATTCCTGGAAACATTCTCTACTAGCTATGAATTCAGACCTGTTGGGCATTATTTAATAGCACTCAGTGTATATGTGTGTGTGTGTATGTGTTTTCATCATATGTCAGCACCATACATTGTAAAATGGATTCTATGGTACTCTGGTTCACCTGGAAGCAATCTTCTGTTTGTAGCCAACTTTCTTCAGTGGCCAGACATAGTTATGCAGAACTGAAGTTCTTGGTATAATGCATTGTTGGTGATACATCCCATTATGTGTTGCAACATCAAACAACCTGACCTCATCAGGGCATACATTGGATCTGTACAGCTGATCCTGCATCACTCTGACAACATTAGAAACCACTCTTAATGTTCTAATTTGTAAGGCTGTAAACTATAGCCCTATCATTGGAAGTTTTACCAAAATCTTTTGGCATCGTAGCGAAGACATAATCAAGATGTATTCAAATTTTTGAAAGGAATTAGCAGACCCACTCAAATCCCTTACAGTATTAATTCAGATAATTCCTGTATGAAATTCAAAATAATGAAAAATAAGGACTAAATACCCTGAAGCTACCAGATCTTGTCTGCTTTTGGAAGCAAAGCTGTCAGTATCAGAAACTATCCAGGAAGACCAGGTACTGCAGGATACATTTCAAAGGAAGATAATGGCAAATGATTTCAGTACGTTCCTTATCTATGAAATCTCTAGGACAGTCATGGGGTCACTGTAAATCAATAGGTAACTTGAAGGCACACAAACACACAGTGCCAGACTTGGTTTAATTAGTGTTCAGAACATTGATTCCAGACTTTAAGTTGCATTCCAGCAGTGTAGACTGGTCCCAGTCTCTCTTACATAGTAGCAAAATCATAATTCAGTCTCTGAAATAGTGTTTCCTACAATCCTACTATTACTAGTTAGTGCAATTTTCCAGAGGGGAAAAGAGGCATCGAGAAAGGCTTCTCTGCAGGATGTCACTGCAGGCTAATATTGATTGTCTTCTAATTGAATCCAAAGCCTGGCACAATTGAAGTCTGGGCTAAAAATGTGTCCATATACCAGAGTTCATTACATTTCTAAAAAGGAATTGAGATTAAGACAGTTGGAAATGCTGGGATCCTATATCTGGATGACTTGGGAGCATTTAATATATTTATGTTCCTTCCAAAGGTGAAGAAAATATGTTCCTATCCTCATCACCACTACCATTACCTCTCCCAAAAGAAAAGTTGTTTGTTGTTCATTCGTTCAGTCGTCTCTGACTCTTCGTGACCTCATGGACCAGCCCACGCCAGAGCTCCCTGTCAGCCGTCACCACCCCCAGCTCCTTCAAGGTCAGTCCAGTCACTTCAAGGATGCCATCCATCCATCTTGCCCTTGGTCGGCCCCTCTTCCTTTTGCCTTCCACTTTCTCTAGGCTTTCCTGTCTCCTCATGATGTGGCCAAAGTACTTCAACTTTGTCTCTAGTATCCTTCCCTCCAGTGAGCAGCCGGGCTTTATTTCCTGGAGGATGGACTGATTGGATCTTCTCGCAGTCCAAGGCACTCTCAGAACTTTCCTCCAACACCACAGTTCAAAAGCATCTATCTTCCTTCGCTCAGCCTTCCCTAAGGTCCAGCTCTCACATCCGTAGGTGACTACAGGGAATACCATGGCTTTGACTAGGCGTATCTTTGTTGCCAATCTGATGTCTCTACTCTTTACTATTTTATCGAGACTGAACATTGCTATCCTTCCAAGAAGTAAGCATCTTCTGATTTCCTGGACACAGTCTGCTTCTGCAGTAATTTTTGCGCCTAGAAATACAAAGTCTGTCACGGCCTCCACATTTTCTCCCTCTATTTTCCAG